GCCCTGCTTTCCCTCGCGGGTTTCTGCTCAGAAGGGAAGTGCCGGCTCCGGTGTCTGCTGTGCTACCGTGTGTGCCCGGCCCCCAGGCTCAGGGTGCCCTGGGCTCCTCCCGAAAGGCCAGCCTGGCTCCTCGCCCCTCCCCGTCCGGGGGGCATCTCCTCAGTGAACCACCTGCGTGTGGACCCTCGGCCCAGGGCCGGCTCCAGAGGCTACCTGACCCGACACAGCCCGAGGTGAGGTGCGGCCCCCCATGTGGACGGAGCTGCTCCCGGGGAGGGGGCCGCCCCCGCCTCCTGTCCTTAGTGGGGCCTGAGGGAAAAGCAAGAATCCTGTCTGCTTGGGCAAAGTGAATCCTATCCAGGACTTTTTTTTATTTTATTTTATTTTATTATTTTATTTAATTTATTTATTTTATTTTATTTATTTTATTTTATATTATTTTATTATTTTATTTTATTTTCCTTTATTTTATTGTATTTTTAGAGAGAGAGAATAAGAGTGTGTACAAGCAGGGGAGGGGCAGAGGGAGAGGAGAGAGAGAATCCCAAGCAGCTCTGCATGTCAGTGCAAGCCCGCCGGGGGGCTCAGTCTCACAAACTGGGAGATCATGAGCCGATATCGAGTCAGACACTCAATTGACAGAGCCAGCCAGGCACCCCATCGAGGGACCTAGTGAACAGGAGCAACCGGGAGCAAAATTTCTCTTGGTTCTGAATTCTAACTTTTTTTTTTTTTTTTAATGAACAGCCTCTGGGGCGCCTGGCTGGCTCTGCTGGCCGAATGTCTGACTCTTAATTTCAGTTCAGGCCGTGATCTCACTGTTCATGAGTCGGGGCCCCGGGTCGGGCTCTGTGCTGACAGTGCGGAGCCTGGAGCTGCTTCAGATTCTCTCTCTCTCAGCTCGCCCCTCTTTCTCTTAGAAGAAAAAAAAAGGGGGGCGCCTGGGTGGCTTAGTCGGTTAAGCGTCCGACTTTCGCTCAGGTCATGATCTCGCGGTTCGTGGGTTCGAGCCCCGCGTCGGGCTCTGTGCTGACTGCCAGCTCGGAGACTGGAGCCTGTTTCAGTCTGTGACTCCCTCTCTCTCTGACCCTCCCCTGCTCACGCTATCTCTCTCTCTCTCCTAGAAATAAATAAAACATTAAAAAATTAAAAAAAAAAAGAACAGTCCCCCACATTATGACCACTGCGCTCCAAGGCACGTCTCTTTCTCTTTTTACAAGGGACTAGTGGTCTTGTTTGAAAAGTGACTCAGGGCCAGCAAGGCAAGCTCTCCAGGTCAGCAGTGGTCACACAGCTGTCCGCACCCCCGTCCCCGCCAGCGCCCCCTCCCTCTCTTCAGTGCCCGTCCCTTGGGTGGTGGAGGGGGGTTGGGCCAGAGTCTGGCCGCACGTGGGCAGTTTAGGACGGAGCCTGGGACACCAAGTCGATAAGGTTAGAGACAGAGCCCGGAAGAGCGGGAACGGACGCTGGTGAACCCCTGCGTCTGGCCGCGGGCCATGCCGGGCGCCTTGCCCTCCAGGGCAGGTGCGAGCTCCGGGTGACAGATAAGGAAACAGAGCCGCTGGGCGGTGAAGGTGGTTGCAAAGCCCGTGTCTTGGCCAGTGAAGTCTAGTCTCTGCTCTTACAAGGCGTCCTGAGCTGCCTCCCGGGGGGCAGGCTGACCCCTCAGACTCCCTGCGGCTCTTTGTTCCTAGTGCCAGCGAGCGAAACCACCTCAGGTGGCGTTGGGTCACTGGCTCTGAGGTCGTCTCTCTCAGACTTTCGAGATGGGTGCCTTGCACTGGATCCCGTCGTACCTCAGAGTGAAGACAGAACGGGCTGTCCCTGGCGTGTGCTCTCCTGGCAGGGATACCAGACATGGCCTCGGAGCCCCACACACCCCAGAAAACTTAACATTTTTGTTTTCGTTTTAATGGTCACTGAAAATTAAATGTAAGCACCCTTCCAGCCTGGCACTTCTTAACCCAGCGGTGTTCGGCACGAGCACTCGCCATCACGGGCGCACTGAGTGTGCGTCAGGGACTTTGTGGACAGCGGAGGGTTGGCAGTGGCTCGGCGAGACGGGCAGTGGAAGCAGAGCCGTTTTCGGGCTCAGGCTGCACAGGCACCCGGAACCCCAGAGAGCCTGGCCCGCAGCAGCAGGAAGGGGCTCACACGAGCAGTGGCCGGAGCCACCGTCCTGGCTGCAGCGATGGGAGCTTGCAGCGTACGATGGACGAGAAAGCACAGAGTAAATATGCAGTGACGTTGCCTCCTAAAGGGGATTTTTAAAGTTTGTTTTGAGAGAGAGAGAGCACCCCATAAAAAGGAATCTTTACTGAAATGTTTAGGAATTGTATTCTGGGACATGCTATTCCATTATTTGGCACATCCAAGTAATGGGCTGATGGTTAAAGATACAATCGTAGTTAAAGGAAAAGAAGAGAGACTTAACTGATGGTTCATCATGCTCAAAATCCTTTAGAAGAAACTGAGAATAGTCAAGTAGGAAACACCTGCCAAACATCTTTCTGTTATCAAGCCCAATATTCGTGACATGTGTGTCTCTTTGCCCCCAGTAATACTTAGTTTCTTAAAGTCTACTTTGCACCTTCTTTTGGTTCCTATTTACATCTATGTCTTTTCCCATTCTTTTACTTTCAAGCTCTGCTGATATTTAAAGTATTCTGTTTTGGGGGAGCCTAGGTGGCTCATAGGATGAGCATCTGACTCTTGATTTCGGCTCAGGTCACAATCTCACAGTTGGTGAGTTCGAGCCACACATAGGGCTTGCCCTGACAGTGTGGAGCCTGCTTGGGATTCTCTCTCCCTCCCTCTCTGCCCCTCTCATGATTGCTCTCTCTCTCTCTCTCTCTCTCTCTCTCTCTCTCTCTCAAAATAAGTAAACTTTTAAAACAGTTAGAAAAAAATTAAAGGGTTTCACTTGGGAACAGTATGTAGTTGTTTTGTTTTTAAATCCAGTCTGATTGTCTTTTAGTTGGAGGGTTTTGTCCATTTGCACTTAATGTGATGTGAAACGTAGTGAGGGTTAAGCCTCACGGCTGTTTGTTTCCCGTTTATCGTATCAGGTCCTTGTTCCTCATCCTTTCTTTTTTTCTTTTTTCAGGTGAGGGATTAATCAAGTATTTTTTTCTCCACTAGCATCCTATGGGATTTAAGGACCGTATGCTCTCTCTTTTTTAATAATGGTGTTTAAATTTTTTTTTAAATCGTGGGGCGCCTGGGTGGCTCAGTTGGTTAAGCGTCCGACTTCAGCTCAGGTCATGATCTCACGGTTCGCGGCTTCGAGCCCCGCGTCGGGCTCTGTGCTGACAGCTGGGAGGCTGGAGCTGCTTCAGATTCTGTGTGTGTCTCTCTCTGCCCCTCCCCTACTTGTGCTCTGTCCCTCTGCCTATTAAAAAGGAATAAATGTTTAAAGAATTTTAGCATTTTTTAAAATCTTTAAATTTATTTAGTAATCTCCACGCCCCACCTGGGGCTTGAACTCATGACCCCAAGATCAAGAGTCACACACTCTACCAGCTGAGCCAGCCAGACTCCTCGGGGCCATATTATCATTTTTAAAACTATTGAAACATGGGACCCGACGTGTTCCCACAGTTTCCCCGTAGTCACAGCAGACAGTCAGTGGCTGAGCTCCAGCTCCAAACAGCTGCAGGGGTGATGGCTGAGAAGACCACCGAGTGGGCAGAGCGGGGGCAGAGCGGCGATGGCGGCTGGAGGAGGCAGGGCGGGGGGCGGTCGGAGCAGGAAAGAACCAGGGCAGCACCGTTTGGACGAGGGGCCCCGTTGTCTCCGGACTCGGGCCGCGGGGCCGCCAGCACGAGGCCTCCACGTTCACACCGCCATCCGGCTGCGTTTGCCTTCCAGCCTCAGACCCCTCCAGTGGGTCAGGTGACTCAGCGTCACTGCCACGGGTGTGCCCGGGACAGGTGCCTCCGGCTGGCGGGGCCGCTAGGTAGCGGTGCAGTGGGCAGGCTACCGCTGTCGCTCCTCCCCCTCTGCCCCTTCACAGGTTACTGGGAGGGGGCCGGAGCCACCGACTGCCAGCCAGCAGTCACACTGGGCCTGGGCCGAGCGAGCCGGGCCGGGGCGCGCAGTCTGCTCGGTGTGTCCGGCTGCGTTCTACGAGCTTTACGAATGTTAACTCAGTTCATCCCACAAAGAAACAAGTGTCGTTGTTATTTGTATCCCGTTTGACAAACGAAGCAGGCAGCTTCCGGCGCTTGGCCAAGGGCACACACTTCTTCGGGGCCGGGCCGGCCTTGGGGCCGGGCGGCCCTGCCCACACCACATGGGCCCCCTGCAGCAGTCACATCAGCAGGCGCTCCCGCACCAGGGGGCGTGGAGAGGATTCGACACTACTCAGGGCGACGTGGGGTCATGGGCAGGGCCGTGAACACGGGGATTCCGCCGTGTTTTCCCTTTTTCCGTTAAAATCAGGGGCTTGATGTCAATGTTCCCTGAACGCTGAATGTGCTGTGTTTACCAAACTATTCTGAAGCGTGTGTCCTTCTCAGCGGGCTAGTTAGGCTCAGCCGAACAGAGATGAGCGTGGAGGTGGTGTGGGGAGGGTGCAGGAGTCACCGTGCCGATGGCTGGTCCTGTGGGCGCACCCCCGTCCCCCTCCAGCCCCACGCCCTGCGGGACGGGACGCTGTGGGGCTGGGGCTCAGACACATTAACTTCTGCTGCTTCATGCTATTTCTCTGGACCAAGCTGGATAATTAGCATGATTAATGGTTCCAGAGACTTTTTTCTTTAAGGAAACCTGACAACGGGAAAGACGGATCAAGCCTGGATTCTGCGGTGCTGTAACTGTTTCCCAGTCTATGAATCAGGCAGTCCCCTCCCGGCTGTCAGCTCTGCCTGCCCCGATACACCGTCCCGGGAGCGACCCACACAGCGAGACCACCCCGCAGGCGGCTCCCGCGCCGAGACTCGTGCGCGCCGTCAGGCGGCGCACTGAGCCAAGCGTTCAGCCGGGCGCAAGCTACCCACCTGTTAGCAGCGTTTCGCTCGGAATGTCTTCTATTATGCACTTCTCCTCTCGTTCGCCTACGTGGAAGTAAAACCCAGTTGAAAGTGAAAAACACAAACTTAAAATAAAGGTTGACGTTTGCATTTCTGCCGCACCAGCCCCTCCCGGCCGCACTGACACCGATCGGCGGCCAGCGCTGCGCTGTGAGTGCCTGTACTCCACTGGACACTGCTGCCCATCGATTTCTGTGGGAAGTGACACGTGGCGGCTGCGCTTGGGCAGGTGACGGCAGCACCCCCAGGAACAAGATGAAATGATGTGGGAACCTTGGGGCCTTTCCAGGCATGGCGACATCAAAACTCCTTTGATCTCTTACTTTTTAAAGATTTTGAGCTGTGGCAGGGAGACGATGACAGTGCAGGCCCAAGGGACCAGCCCTGCTGAAACCCAGAAGCGATGACCTCGGCAGGTGCCCAGCAGCCGCCCCGGGCGTGCCGTCCTGGCCAAACAAGGTGGCCGTTCCCTGGTTGTGCCGCTGTTCGGCAGGGGCGGGGGAGGGGAAGGGTGCTTCGTGCTGGGGGCTGAGAACCGAGGGCAGGGGTGCAGGGCAGGCGCCGTGGGTGCGGACGAGAAGGAGGCGAGAGGCTGTTTAACTGAGGCCCCCTGGTGGATGAGACGTTGAGTTGCCATCACCCAGTGTGGCCCTCGGGGCCCCCCAGCTGCGGTGCACAATGATTTCTTCTTGAACTTTTTATTTTGAAATATTTATAGACTCACAAAAAGTTGGAAAAATACTGCAGAGGGGCGCCCTGTCCCCATCACCCAGCTCCCCCCAGGGGTGACGCCTGGCAGAGTGCAGAGAGCGCAGAGCCGCTGTGGTCACGGGGAACTGGACACGGGCAGAGGACAGTTAACTGGCCCACAGAGCTGACGTGGGTCTCGTGGGTTTAAAAAAAAACAGGGGCGCCTGGGGGGCTCAGTCGGTTAAGCGTCCGACTTCGGCTCAGGTCATGATCTCACGGTTCGTGGGTTTGCGCCCCGCGTCGGGCTCTGTGCTGACAGCTCAGAGCCTGGAGCTGCTTCGGATTCTGTGTCTCCCTCTCTCTCTGCCCCTCCCCTGCTCACGCTGTCTGTCTCTCTCAGAAATAAATAAATCATTAAAAATTAAAAAACAAAACAAAACATGGGCGTCCTGCCAAGAGGGTGCTTCAGCGAGCGGCTATGAAGGCTCTTGAGACGGGGGGGGGGGGGGGGGGGGGGGGGGGGGGGGGGGGGGGGGGGGGGGGGGGGGGGATGGGACTTGCAGCCTCGTGGTTTGGGATCAAAGACGGGGATTCTATGGCCTGGGATGTTTCACGGACTTGTGCTTTATTTACTTTTGTTTTTTATTTTTGTTTTGTTTTGTTTTGTTTTGTTTACAGTAGCCCTAAACATATTAAGTTAAAGAAATGCGACGTGGAAGCGGAAGGAGTGGGTGCAGGGAGGTGGGGAGGGTGCTGTGGACCAGGGAGACTTTCTCGTTCTTTCATGGGTAGCAGTGACCCTGGCATGTGGATGGGTCGCTCCTTGAAATACTTGTTTATTATTACTCACCTCTGAGTTCTGATGTGTATGCAGCCTGATTCTGAGAGTGTTCACCAATTTTTAGAATTTATTGAAAAAAATAGAATTTTCACTCAAAGCCTATGTTCAGCCCCAGAGATGTCTTTCTGTCGTATCTTCCTGTAATATCCTCTTTGTTCTTCATTTTATTTTTAGTTTTCAACATGGCACACCTTCATCCCCATCACCTATCTCACACGGCACCCCACCCGCTTCCCCTCTGTAACCATCAGATTGTTCTCTGCAGTTAAGAGTCTGTTTCTTGGTTTGTCTCTCTTTCTTTCTCTTTTTTCTTTTGCCAATTTGTTTTCTTTCTGAAATTCCACATGAGTGAATCGTATGGTATCTGTCTTCCTCTGACTGACTTATCTCACTTAGCATAATCCTCCATCCACATCACTGCACACGGCAAGATTTCACTCTTTCTGATGGCGCAGTAACACTCCACTGTACACACACACGCCACATCTCCTTCATCCATCCATCCCTCATCCACGGGCACGCGGCCGCTTCCATAGCTTGGCTGCTGTAGGTAACGTAGATGCTGTGAACATCGGGGTGCATGGATCCCTCTGAATTAGCGTTCCTGTATTCTTTGGGTAAATACCCAGGAGTGTGATTACTAGATCGTAGGGTAGTTCTATTTTTAACTTTCTGAGGAACCTCCGCACCGTTCTCCAGAGCGGCTGCGCCAGTTTGCATTCCCACCAACAGTGCTCGGGGGTTCCCCCCTCTCCGCATCCTTGCCCACACCCGATATTTCTTGTGATTGTGATTTTAGCCGTTCTGACAGGTGTGAGGTGGCATCTCATCGTGGTTTGACTTGTGTTTCCCTGACGATGAGTGATGTGGAGCATCTTTTATGTGTCTGTCGGCATCTGGACGTCTTCTTGGGAAGAATGTCTGGCCGTGTCTTCTGCCTGTTTTTTAACTGGGTTATTTGTTTTTAGGTGTTGAGTTGTAAAGTTCTTTATAGATTTTGGATAGTAACCCTTTATCTGATTTGTCTTTTGAAATATCTTCTCTCATTCTCTCATTTGCCTTTTAGTTTTGTTGATTCTTTCCCTCTCTGTGTAGAGAATTTTTACTTTTATTATAATCCCAACAGTTTACTTTTGCTTTTGTTTCCCTTGCCTCCAGAGACGTGTTTAGAAAACAGTTGCTTCACATTATGCACGTGGTTGTGGGTTAGCCATGTGGGCATGGACAGGCGGGCGGCCCGGCCCTGGCGCAGGAGACAGTGGTGCTGCAAGTGAGGCACTGTGATGGCTCAGATGGCACCAGCCGCAGGGCCCTTAGCTCTGTGCCCGGTCCCCCGCCGGCGTGGGAGGGGGGTGCAGCTGCCGGCTTTTCTGGCGCTGGGTGGGGTTGCTCGGGAAGCGTCCCTCGTGCAAGGCAGTGGCCGCCACCGCTTCAGCCCTTTCCCTCTGACCCGCTCGCGCCCTGCTGCCGGCTCCCTCCCCGACCACCACCTTAGTCTGATTGGGCCTCCTTAACAAACACCGGACCGCGCAGCCCATAAACAACGGAATGTATTTCCAGGGCCCAGGAGGTCAGAAGTCCAAGCTCAGGGCACCAGCGCGGTCAGGGTCTGGGGGCCACCATTCTCTGGGCTGCAGGTGGCTGCCCCCTCCCTGTGTCCTCCTGTGGCGGGAGGGGGAGGGGCAAGGGAGCTCCGTGAGGTCCTTTTGTGAGGGCACCGGTCCCACTCGTAAGCCAGTTACCCCCCAGATCCCACCTCCTAGCACCACACCCTGGGGCTAGGACTCCGGCATGTGAATGTCCAGGGGGCACGCTGAGGCCACGGTGACTATCAGGGGTCTCCCTCTAGGAGGCGCTGCTGTGTGGCGCGTCCAGCCTGGACTCCAGGACCACTGTCGGGGCTCAGCGCCCAGCCACTTACCTTCTGTGCGGTCCTGGCCAACTCCGTAGCTGCTCTCTGCCTCAGTTTCCTCCTCCGTGAGGGTGGAATGCTACTATTAGCCACATTATTGAGTGGTTGTGGAGATCCAGTGAGGCGTGTGTAAGGTGCAGAGTGCAAAATGTCTGTCTGTCCTGCTGTTGTACAGCCTGGGTCTTCACAGCGCCATCTAGACTTCTCCCTCTTCACTTAGCCACCACACACACACAATAATCCTGGACTATTAAAATTGTTTTCTTTTAATATTTACTTATTTTTGAGAGAGAGAGAATGTGTGCAGGGGAGGGGCAGAGAGAGAAGGTGAAACAGAATCGGAAGCAGGCTCGAGGCTGTCAGCACAGAGCAGGGCTTGAACCCACAAACTATAGGATCATGACCTGAGCCGAAGTTGGATGCTTAACCAACTGAGCCACTCAGTAATCCCTGAACTTTTTTTTAGCTTATTTACTTATTTTGACAGCCAGAGTGCGTGTGCACAAGCGGGAGAGGAATAGAGAGAGCGAGAGACCCAAGCAGGCTCTGTGCTGTCAATGCAGAGGCACAGAGCGCGATGCGGGGCTCAAACTCCTGAACCCTGAGATCATGAGCTGAGCTGAAATCAAGAGGTAGACGCTTAACCAACTGAGCCATCCAGGCACCCCATTTCCTGGACTATTTCAAAGCATCTTCCCTACCAGAGGTCATTTTTACCCGTCAGGACTTCGGTTAGCAGCTCTCACCAGTAGACTTAAAAACAGACCACAAGCAGCATGTCATTGTGACGACCTGACACGATTAACACGAGCCCTTCCTGCCATCCAACACCCAGGCCACAGTCGGTTCCCTGACTGGGAAGGTCTCTCTGCCATTGATTTGTTTGAACCAGTGTCTACACAGGATCCACATGCTGGACTTGATCATGTCTCTGAACTCTGTTGTTCTGTTGGGTCCCCTTCCCCTCAGCCTTTTTTCTCCCAATTCACTAGACATAAGGTCACATGGCTCAGAGCGACTACATCCCAGGCTTAGGCTCGACTCGGTGCAGCACCCACCCTGCAGCACGTGAACCTCCCGGGGCCGCCAGGGCCGCACGCCTCTGGGTCCTGGATTCGGGGTCCCGAGCTGCCACTGTGGGGCCCAGTCGGCACGGTGAGGCTTCACGCGCCCGGCCGGTTCCCCAGGACTGCTGCTCGGGGCTGGGGTTCCTTAGACTCCAGCTCAGACTTTTAAGGGACAGTAACAAGTGTGTTCTTTTCCAAGATGGTTTTGACTTTTCGGGGCCCCCTGAGACTCCATGTGAAATTTAGAATGGGTTTTTCTATTTCTGAAAAAAAATGTCATTAGGGTTTTGACAAGTGCGGCACTGAATCTGCAGACCGCTGTGGGTGACGTTAACACGTTGGCGGCATTAGGATGTGAATTTATTCACTTGTCTTCTTGAATCTCCTGCTGCAGCCTGCTGTAGTCTTCATCGTGTGAGTGTCTGAGCGCCTTGGCTAAGGTCACTCCCACGCGCTTTCTTCTCTTCGACGCTATTGAAAGTGAAATTGGTTTTGTAATTTCCTTTCCAGATTGTCCATTGTTCACGTGCAGAAATGCAGGCTGTTGGCTTGTGTCCTGACAGTTTGCTGCAATCACATAT